CGAGGCTGTCTATTACTGTGGGGCTTGGTTTAACAGCTATAGCTTGTGGCACAGTGATCAAGTCTTATGGGGAACTGAGACAAAAACCTTCCACCTTCCTCCTTCACATCTGGCAGCTTAGAATCACTAGAGATATGTCATGGAATTCTACTCAGTATTGATCCAGAGCAGATTCCTGTATAGTTAGCAGAGTAAAAACTTAAACACATTGCAGGGTTCCCAAAAAATTAGACCAGAGGCTATGAAAATTTCATCCAGCAGAGCTTTACTGCTACTGGTATTGTGCATTAAGTAGAGTTATATGAGGCTGGATATATCCCCCATGGACCTCTGCTTTTGAGACACAGGACAAGTGTGGATAAGCCCCTAGTCCAGTATGCTTTTCTCACATGAACCAGCCAAATTATTATGGACCTGACTGCAACAGCACTCTCCCCGCCATTTTTATTTGGAAGCACACATCTTCCAACAGCAGAGATGGAAAAGTGTGCATTAATGAACTGCTCTGGTTTTTTAAATTTTATTTCACAAGATTTATATACACCTCTTGATTATAATGAAGCCTCAAAGTGGTTCACAAAATCACAATAAATCAATGAAATTATCCGCAATGAACTGTTTTGAACTCCTATTCAAAACTTTCAGAAACAATTGAAATCAACAATAAGCTACAAAGAGATTAAAACCCATGTCAGCATTCCACCCAGAAAGGCTCGCCTAAACAAAAATATTTTCAACAGGTACCAAAAACAGTGCAATGAAGGCACTGCTGGTGTCAATAGGCAGGGAGTTCCAAAGTTTTGGTGCTGCCACATGAAAAAAATTTTTTTTTTCAAATGCATAAGTGGCAAATGCATTAGGTGGCAGCTGTAACAGTGCCGATTTTGCAGGGTTGAGTGGGCATACGTGGGGAAAGGCATTCTGCAGTGTGCATGCATGATGTCAGCATGTCACATGGCATGCATGCACGTTGTGTGCATGTTGTATGGCCACGGCCCCCTCAATCGTGGGGGCAAGCCAGCGCACTTGCAGTCAGAGAGTCATCTCCGAAGACAAAACAGACCCTTGCCACAGTGCATATGCTAAAACCATCAAAATCTTAACAAAAACAGAACGATACACGGTAACTTCCATCGCTTGGTCTGTTGTCCACAAATGAAAAGATACATTTTATGTATGATATATAAAGGGCCGAGGTTGCCCAACGTCCTTGCTGTTATTTATATTAATATTAGAAGTGCTGGTTTGAGTAAACACTTACAACTAAAGAAAATAAGCATAAAAGTTAAGATGTAATAACTTGGAAAATATGTATACACGATGTATGAAGTTGGAAGTGGGACGGGGGAGGGGAGGGGAGGGGGGTTAAATATGCTCTCTGTTCCTGTTTTTGAAAACGCAAATAATCATAATAATAAATAGACATGTTAGCAGCAGTACTGGTCTGCAGTACTTTGTATATACAAGACAGGAGGAAAAAAGGAACAAATACTAATTAAAATATGCGCTTCGTGCACTCCAAAATGTGTTGTTGGCGATAGGCACCGTTCATCATTTGTATGATCTATAAAGTCGCCCCAGACTGTGTCAAAGTTATAATATTTTTCCTGGACTTTTGCAACCTTCAATTTTCTTTGTTCTAAGGGAACCAAATGTGCCCAATCTTTCAGAAATGCAAAGATTAAATGCACTCTGGCTGCACATTTTCATCATCCCAGGGCAAAGCCGGGAGCCTCCCTTCTTCTTTTTAAATCCCCTCCCTCATGCAAATGTCTTCTGTGATCATTGGCTGGCCTGGAATCTCCTGCCTCCTCAGAGGAGGTGAGGCATTTCTAGGAAACCCAATGGGCATCAATAACTTTATATGACAGACCCTCAATCTGCAGTTCCTGGGGGATCAAAGAGAGAAGCAGGAAGCCTGCTGTCGGTGGTCTGTTTCTTTGACAAAGTCAGAAGCCTCTAGAGAGCTCGCCATGGCTTGGACTCTCTGCTTCCTTGCACTTCTCAGCTGCTTCTCAGGTAAGTGCGTGGAGGACTCCCTTTCCCTCGGATTCTGGCTCAACAACAAATCAATACTGTGCATTAATCATAGGACCCGTTAGAGATTTGGAAGCACAAACAAGGTTAATTGTTTTCCTTTCCTTTTTCCATCTTCCAAAGGTGTCATTTCACAGAATACATTGACTCAACCTCCCTCTCAGTCTGTGTCACCAGGAGAAACTATTAAACTCTCCTGCACCGCCAGCAGTAGTCGTAGCTATATTTACTGGTATCAACAGAGACCTGGACAAGCCCCTCGCTATGTGCATCGTAATGGTGGCAGCAGGGGAGAAGGGATCCCTGATCGATTCACTGCTTCCCTCTCTGGGAATATGGGCTATTTAATCATCACCAACATCCAGGGTGAAGATGAGGCTGTTTATTACTGTGCGGCTTGGTTTAGCAATGAGCTACACTGTGATCAAGTCTAATGGGGAACTGAGACAAAAACCTTTACTCTTCCTGCTGAAGAGGGCGTTCAGATTTGGTACGGAGCTAAATTTATGCCTGAAGCTCTTTCAAGGATAGAGCCAGATGGAACTAAAATGGCACCTGACTGAATCTTCTTCTCCACATCAAGATCACCCAGTGACCTCGGCACACACTGCAGGTTGCCAAATCTCATGGCAAGTGGATTAAAAAAGGGTTCTTGCAGAACAAACCGCCCCAGCAAGAACTCACATTGAAATTACTGGAAAGGTTGGCATGTGGCAAAGATCACCACAACATCACTGAACAAAGCCAGCAGGGCCTTATTTTATCAACTTGCACTGACCAGACACAGTAGAATCACTATTACACTTCTAAAAGATAAGAGGAAGACTTTGGCCATATCAGGCAAGCATGCTGTGGAAAATCAGGGTCATACTTAAATGTGTGAATACCTATGTAGTGCTGAAGCACGAAGAATGAAAAGGAGTTTTCACATAATACCCCATTAGGGCTCATGTTGTTGGCAGCTTATATGATGCCTGCTATCCCTGATTTTATCTTCAGGGGGAGATGTTGGTCCACTTCTCACAAACTGGGCAAAATGAGGATCTGAGAGCAACCCCCACACCTGTGATGTGAAATGAAGCATCTCCACCATGCATGGCTCCATCTGTAGTGCTTCCTCTTCAGTCCTGCTCAGAGTTTGGTTGGCATTCTGATGTTTGGGGTGGAGGAGTGTTTTCCCCCTCTGCTCTGGGCCCCAGGAAAAATGCTAATCTATTTCTGGAGCTCCCTTGCTGCCTTACCAAGTCTTTGGTGTTTGGATTACTGTTCACAGGAAAACAGGATCTTCCCGGTTTTCCAGATCCTGCCTTAGTTCCCTCTCAACTCTATTTATACCATTTTAGTATCATCTCAGAACTACACCAAGATCCTTCCCCCCCCTCTTCTTTTTAAATACCCTCACTCGTGTCAATATCTTCTCTGTTTATTGGGTGGGCTAGAAGGTCAGAGGAGGAGTGGCATTTCTAGCAAAGCCAATGGGCACCAGTAGCTTTCCAACACAGTAACGTCACCTGCAGTTCCTGGTGGGATTTCAGAAAAAAAATCCAGAAGATCCTTGCACCTTATCTGTTCCTTTGAGAAAGGCAGGCTCCTCTAGAAAGGGCCTAAGCTATGGGTTTCCTTGCACTTCTCAGCTGCATCTCAGGTAAAGATGCAGGTGACTCTTCAGATTTCTGGGTCCACAACACCCATTATATTCTGCGCTTTGAGGCTATTTGTTAGCAAAATCGATGAATCAAGCTCATCTTCTTCTTTTCATTTCCTCCCCAAAGGTGCCATTTCTCAACATACAATGACTCAACCTGTGTCAGGGACAGGGCTGCACTGAGGAGGGGTGGTGGGAGTCTCCCCCTCCTCCTGCTCCTGCTCCAGATCCTGAATCTTCCCAGGAGCTTGAGGACGGTATAGATTTGGAACAGTGGTTTGCAGAGGGGCATAGTTCAGAAGGCAGAAGCTGGGAAACACTGGATGGTGAACAGCTAGGAGAAGAAACACTGGAAGTGAGAGGGATAACAGAGTCACAGTCTCTGGACAGCCTTCCTCCACCGCTCTCCCCAAAATTGAGAAGAGCTCAGAAAGTGGCCTTTGACTGGACTTAACTGTCCAGGGGTCCTTACCTTACTTCACTTATTTGCCCTGAATGCCTCCCTAGGCACATGGAATCCTGGAAGATGTAGTTTCAAAAACACCTATCATCTACATTCTAGAGGGTGGGTGGAGAAAGGTTGGAAGTGGTCAAATATGACCCTCCAGTCCTCTCTTATCAGGCCCTCAGAATTCTTGCAGGGCCACACATCTCTACAGGACACAGACCACACCATGCCTGCTCCGTGACCTGAAATGTTTTTGCCAGGCTGAAATGTGTCCTTGAGCTGTGAGCCTGTGATAATACTGATTGGAATATTGGAGTGTTGGGGAGTGTGTTGAAACATTTATGTTTTGCATGGCTGGAATGCATCCAATTCTACCAACGCCTGGTTCAAATTCACTATTCCATCTCCTTTTGCTTCTGGCTCCACCAAGCACTTCTGAAAAAGTAGCTTCTGAAACATTCCTAGTGAGAGAATGCAGCTCTGGGAATTGTCCCCCACTCTTGAGCTAGAGGATAGAGTCAGATTCTGAGACGGGTGAGGGAGGCCTTCAATAGAGACCACTGAGACGTCAATAAGTTTGGTGGGGTTGGAGAAAGGCCAGAGCTGGTTGGATTATCCAGATCAAGACCTGTTAAGCTTTCTCCCTCCTGGCCCCTCATCCGCCAGAGCAAATCCCTCAGTCTTCTGTTAAGAGGAAAACAGTGGTTTCTCAAGTTCCCCCCATATGTTCACTCCCTATTCCTATTACTGCAAACGTTGCCACTGAAAGTTCATATTTCGGTCATCCCAGGACAAAGCCAGGAGTGTCTCCTCTTTCAAATACTCTTTCTTACGCAAATGTGAACTGTCTTCTCTGTTCATTGGCTGACTTGGAATGTCCCGCCTCCACAGGGGCATTTCTAGCAAAGCCAATAGGCTTTAAGTGACATACCTTTCATCTTTAGGTCCTGGAGGATATAAGAAAGGAGCAGTATGGTCCCTGCCAGTTCTCTGTTTCTTTGAGAAAGTCAGTCTGCTCTAGAGAACTCACCATGGCCTGGTTTCTGTCCTTCATTGCATTTCTCAGCTACTTCTCTGGTAAGGATGTAGAGGACTCGCTTTCCACAGATCTAATTCCCAACAACAAAACTATTTATATTGCACGTAGATCTTAGTGCCTGTCTGATATATCTAAGCACCCTAAGTGAATCAAGACAATGGTTTTCATTTCTTTTTTACACAGGTGTCATTTCACAGGCTCCTATGACTCAAGCAGCCTCTGAGTCTGTGTCCGTTGGACAAACCATTAAGCTTTCCTGCACCCCCAATGGTAAAGTGGGCTACATTGCTTGGTATCAACAGAGACCTGGACTGGGGCCTTGCTTTGTGCACCAAAATGGCCAGAACCGAGGGGAGGGCATCCCGGATCGATTCACCGCTTCCCTCTCTGGAAATGTTGGCTATTTAACCATCACCAGCACTCAGGCTGAAGATGAGGCTGCTTATTATTGCGGCACATGGTATAGCAGTATTAATGCGTTCCACAGTGCTCAAATCTAATGGGGAACTGAGACAAAAAGCTTCTCTCTTCCTCCTTCAAGCTAGGAGTTCAGATTTGCTACAGAGCTTCATTTGATCTTTACATGGGACTCTTTGAATAGTAGAGATGACAGATCCTCCAGATGTCCCTATTTTCCAGGGGCAGTTTGGGATTTACAGAAGGCATCCTGGTTTCTGGTCTGATCCCTGAATGTCCCGTTTCCCCTTAGACAGTAGTTTTCAACCTGTGGTTCCCCAGATGTTGATGGACTACAACTCCCATTATCCCTTGCTAGCTACGGGTGATGGGAGTTGTAGTTCAATAACATCTGGGGACCCACAGGCTGAGAAAGGCTGCCTTAGAATGTCTCTATTTCCATCAGAGAAATGTTTGAGAGTAGGTTATGCAACCCCCCCAGTCATGGAAATAAGTAACTATACAGCCTTTAGAAGACCTCTGAAGGCAGCCTTGTACAGGGAAGTTTTTTTAATGTTGAATGTTTTATTCTGTTTTTATATATGTTTTATTATTATTTAGTAATAATAATAATAGTAATAATAATGAAGTTGATTCAGGAAACAAAATATTAGTTAAATAACAATATTAAAGATGAGAATTACAAATTGCAATATAAATAAGAGTATAATAAACATAAGAAATGAGGAACACTGTTGGAGGGAAGTCACATAGGCGTAACATTTATGTTTGTATTTTTGTGTTGTCGGTATTTGAATGATTGTAGTTGTAATGTTGTGTGTGCATTGTAATTATTATTATTATTATTATTATTATTATTATTATTATTATTATTGAATAGGACAATCCTATTTTTTTCAGAGAAATGTTGGAGGGCATATGAGAGGGACTGCAACTCATTCCAGTCCTTTATCCAGGTCAAAAATCACTCATCCAACAAGTGGGCATAGATCAATGCACATTGCAGGTTTCAAATTTTTACTCCAAGTTCATTCAAGGTGTCTGCTGAGCAAACTCCTCCATCAACATCATCCGTTGCTGAAAATTTATGCATTTGGCACAGATGCCAGAGGTGCTGCATGTTTAAGATACCAGGGGGGAAAACACTCCGTGAAACTTGTGGCAGTTTAAACTCAGAATTTATGCTTCATTTTACCGCCCTAATATCACTAGCCAGACACAGTAACATAACAGTAAAATATCTGCAATTATAGATAGATAGATGATAGATAGATAGATAGATAGATAGATAGATAGAGAGATAGAGATAGATAGAGATAGAGATAGAGATAGAGATAGAGATAGAGATAGAGATAGAGATAGAGATAGAGATATATCCACATTCCTCACTGTTCTAAGATGTTCCAAGTGGAAAAACAACAACATTTCACTAGGGTGGAATGTGTCATTGGAAGGTAAGTTCTTGGTTAATGGAATGAAGGGGTGTTGGGGAGTGTGTTGGAACCATGGAATCTTGCATGGCTGGAATGCACCTACTGTGCAAAGATGAGGGGCGAAGGAAGGCATCGGCACACCCAGATGTCACAGATGCGCTGTATAGCGGTTTGCCGCCAGCGCTGTTCCAGTGCCGTACGGACAGTGCCAGCATCCCTCTGTTACCGCTACAGCCACGAGCAGAGGATCCCGGTACCGTCCGTACAGCACTGGAGTGGCACCGGCAGCAAACCGCTATACAGCACATGTTCGGCATCTCTACGTACAGTGCATGCATGCGACGCCGCCCATGCACTGTACTTAGCAGTTTGCTGCCGGCGCCAGGATCCTGTGCTCGCGGCTGCAGCTGCGAACAGAGAATCCCCCACATGCAGCTGCGGCAGAGCGATGTCTGCTCGCCCCACCGCGAGCCCCAGCGGGGTAATTTCTTGTCACCCCCTCAGACATGGAACCTGGGCGTACCACCCCCCACGCCCCCTGTTGTGACACCACTTGCAAAGATAAGGGTCAGACTCACTGGTCCATCTACTTTTCTTTCTGGAAACACTCCCCCCCCCACACACACACATGCAGCCCCTGAAAACTTCCTCCTGGTGGAATGTAGCTGTAGGAATTTCCCCATGATCCTGAGCTAGACGGCAGACTCAGATGCTGGGGAAGCTTTCAACAGAAACTTCTATGGTGACTTTAAATAATTTTGATGGTGATAGGGAAAAGGCCAGAAAAGAGGAGCTGGCTGGGGGGATTCTCAGGGACAGGACTGTTGACATGTTCCCTTCCTCTCCCATCGTTCTCAGGGACAGATTTATCTGTCCTTGGATTACTGTTTAGAGAGAGAGATGGGTATTTCCCAAGATTGGAAAATGTTTATTGAATATATGGGGGCGGAGGAATTGTGTACACTTGAAAACGCTGGCAGCATTAAGATAAATTCAACAGTGTAAATAAGTTTTGATGGATCTAATAATGTAATATTGAATGGTTTAGTTTATGTAAAATATGCAGGCTTTTATGTTATGCAAAACAAGTCATGGAAAGAAGAAGTCCTTGATATTTTTAGAAATGAATATTCTAAAATGTAAAACAGAAAATTTAATTAAAATTATTAAAAGATATTTCCCAAGTTTCCATCTCACACCCACCCTGGCCTAATTTGTTTTCTCGAGATTCTTATTCCAGTGATCAATGCTTCATAAATTTCATATTTCTCTCACCCCAGCACAGCCGAGAACCTTCCCTCTTCTTTTTATATACTTATCCTCATGCAAATATCTTCTTTGTTCATTGGCTGAGATAGATTGTCCCACCTCCTCAGAGGAGGAGTGGCATTTTAGCAAAGCCAATGGGCACCAGTAGCTTTATATGGCAGGACCTTTGTCTCCAGTTCCTGGGGAGATTTAGGACAGAAGCAGGAAGGCTCACCCAGGTACCCTTTGTTTTTAGAAAGTCAAACCATGCTCACCAAAGCCTGGACCCTGTCCTTCCTTGCACTTTTCAGCTACTTCTCAGGTAAGGATGTGGAGGACTCTCTCTCCTCAGGACTCAGAACAACAAACAGATGCTATGCATTTATCATAGTGCTTCCTTCATACTGGAAGCAGAAGCAAGATTAAATGTTTTCCTTTCATTTTTCCATCTTCCAAAGGTGTCATTTCACAGGATACGATGACTCAACCTCCCTCTCAGTCTGTGTCACCAGGAGAAACCACTAAACTCTCCTGCACCGCCAGCAGCAACCGTGGCTATATTTACTGGTATCAGCAGAGACCTGGACAAGCCCTCGCTATGTGCAGTGTAATGGTTGCAACAGAGGAACAGGGATCCCTGATCGATTCACTGCTTCCCTCTCTGGGAATATGGGCTATTTAACCATCACCAACACCCAGGCTGACGATGAGGCTGTTTATTACTGTGGGGATTGGTTCAGCAATGTGTTACACGGTGATCAAGTATGATGGGGAAATGAAACAAAAACATTCATGTTTCCTCCTTCAGAGCAAGGAGTTTAGATTCACCACAGAGCTCTCTTCATTCTGAGCCTGGAGCCTTTTCAATAGCAGGGTTGGATAGAACCAAAATGACATCTGATTCCAGCCCCTGTTCCATGTCAATATAACCCAGCAAGCATTTGCTTTTAAAATGCTTTGTTTCATCACTTGTTGTTGCCCTGGGGTCCTTAGAGCAGGAAAGGTGGAATAAGTTTAATAAATACCTGAAATACTTAAAATTTAAAGAGTAAGCCATTATCAGGCAAAAATGTTTGGAAATCTGAATCTTACTCAAAGGCCTGAAGGAGTAGCACTGGGCCACTGACAAACAGCATCCAATTTCCTATTAGGTACCATTAGTGTTCATGTAATTAGCTGATATGATGCCTGCTATCCCAGCTTTAGACATTAGGGGGGGATGTCGGTCCACTTTCCCCCCACATTCGGCAGATATGGGGATGTCAGAGGCTATCTGCACCCCTACAACTGTGACGTGAAGTGAAGTTCACTATGTGTGGCTACATGTCTGGTGCTTCCAGTTCAGCCATGCTCTGAGTTAGTGTCATATGAAGAAATGTGGTGACTTTTTAACATAAAGTTATAAAAGGTGAAGGACCCCTGGACGGTTAAGTCCAGTCAAAGGTGACTTTGGTGTTGTGGTGCTCATCCCACTTTCAGGCCGAGGGAGCCGGCGTTTATCCACAGACAGTTTTCCAGTTCATGTGCCCAGCAGGACTAAAATGCTTCTGGCACAACAGAGCACCATGACAGAAGCCAGAGTACATGGAAATGCCGTTTACCTTCCCGCCACAGCGGTACCTATTTATCTACTTGCATTGGCGTGCTTTCAAACTGCTAGTGAAATATACTCAGAGTTGAGTGTGGATTTCATGCTCTTTATTCAGCTCATAGTAGTGAGGAGGAATGGCTATTACCCTGAAATGTCTGCTTTATATACGTTATTACACAATGGGCCCCACGTGATTGGCTAATTCCAGGATTCTCCTGTAAGTCAATCATGTTGCGGATTCACTTCCACCTGGAGTTGGATTGAGTGGCTCCTGCGGACCAATCAGGCTGCTGCATTCTGAATCCTATTGTTCTAGGACCAATCAGACTGCTGCAATTTGGATCCTATTCAACTCAGTATACCTGAAGCATATGTAACACGAGGTACCACTGTATAATAGTCAAAGCACATTGGTTGCAATGGTGGGTGGGATTGCCAAAGTCATTTTTCCCGGATCCCCTTTTCCCTTATCCCTATTTTCACCCTCTTTTTCAGTTTTTGACTAGTATATAAATCTGGTTGTGAGTGAGCTAAAAGTGTGTTTCTTGCGGGATGTTTTCTTACAAATTGTGCAGTCTGGGTCTTGTTGATTTTTGGTAAACCTCTCTGTTGCTTGTTATCCCTGCTTTCTCCTGTAGGGGGTGATGTCAGCCCTTTCTCTCCCAATCTTTGCAGAAATCTATTATATCAGACACCACCTGTACACCCTGCTACTCGGCTGTGAAGTGAAGCAGAAGCACTTTTGTCCACCCTAGCAAGGGGCTCGGGCCATGCAAAAGCCCCTGGTTGCATTTGGGGAGGGCTGAGGGCAGGTTCCCTGCTCCGTCTCTTCCCCCAAGTGTATTCCCCTTTTCTGACTTTCACAGACGTGCGGAATGTCAGTCTTTCCCCCATGGAGGGGGGGGGCAGATAGTCGCAATCAATGCCTAAGCAACCACTCACATTGTTGTATTTTAATAAAG